TCCGGGAGGGCTAGCACTAACGTGCTTTCGTCATCATACGTAACCTTAACTTGTGCAGCGATTGGTGGGAACAAACATACCTCTATTAATTATCTTTAAGCTGAAGTCATCTGTGTGGCCTGAATAAAGCAAACCAGTATCTTACCAGTAAAGTTTTGATGGATGACGACTGTAATGGAGGTAAAGACGATTACAGTGACATACAGGAATTGTACATTATTAGACACTCGTGGGTCCATTATAATTAGTGTGCAAATAAACAGACTGTGTATGTGCGCTTTCTGATAATTTTTTTGCACAAGCACATTTCAGTATGATCGCATATCTGGCAAGTGTTTTATAATGGATACTCGCTGAAGAAGCGTGTTTTTATATAAGTTTGCAATGGTCAGTGGTGTTTATATACATATTGGCATCAACACTCACTCTGACAGAGGAACTGTTCACTGGTGATGTCGAGACGCCTTCAGATCACCACATTTGGCAAATTCAGAATGTTTTTATTTGCTTTATTAAATTGTGTTTTGCTCTGTTTAATAATTCTGAATGGATCCGTGTATATACAATCAGGTTAAGGTGACTGGTATAGTGGTCTGTTGGCATCTCCGTGTGGTCCTGTTTGGTATTGCAGCTTGACTTGTAGTTATAGAGAATGCTCTAAACAAATGTGACATTTATGTTTTCCTCACAGTTTTTGCTGTTGCATTGTATACATAAATTGTGAATTATGCAAATAAAAAAAAAGAAAAATGTATTAATTTATCTTGAAAAATGATTTCTTGAATCATCCTCAAACTTAATCTTGAACTTGGTAAAACAATTATCTTTATTTAAAATGTTTCAAGTCTTTATATTTTTCCTTTTGTTATACTGGGATAAATCATACTGGGATGTATGCTAAAATTGTTGCATGTGGCGCGCTACCTAGAAAATGTTCCACCACCATCACTGAGGCAAATGGTGTATTTATGGTATTTCCAGCAGGATTAGCTGGACCGTGATAACCAGCCAAACTTTTACTGTGTTTATGAAAGCCCAAGTATGTAAACTAAGTATTCTAGTCATGGGGAAGTCGTTATGGTTAGAGAGTCGGACTCGTAACCCAAGGTTGTGGGTTCGAGTCCCGGTTTGAGTCCCGTACCGGCAGGGATTGTAGGTGGGGGGAGTGAATGTACAGCGCTCTCTTCCACTTTCAATACCACGACTGAGGTGCCCTTGAGCAAGGCACCGAACCCCCAACTGCGTCACTTTCACTTTCATGACATCTTATGAGTTTAACATAACCCACTTGGTCAGCACTGTCCACGGAGGACAGGAGGGAGGATCCCGGATTGTGCACTCGACTGGTGAGCGACGCGTTCCACGACTTCGATATCTCGTCGTGCACCTCGGGGAAAAAGGGACTGGGCCTCTGCGGGGTGTCATTACGGCCACGGGGTCCAACTAGATGTCCAGACAGCCTAGACAGACTCTAAACCGAGCTCATCAACCACCTTGGACAGGATGCGTAGGAGCTCGACATCATGACATATGATGGAAAAAGGGACTGGGCCTCTGCGGGGTGTCATTACGGCCACGGGGTCCAACTAGATGTCCAGACAGCCTAGACAGACTCTAAACCGAGCTCATCAACCACCTTGGACAGGATGCGTAGGAGCTCGACATCATGACATATGATGGAAAAAGGGACTGGGCCTCTGCGGGGTGTCATTACGGCCACGGGGTCCAACTAGATGTCCAGACAGCCTAGACAGACTCTAAACCGAGCTCATCAACCACCTTGGATAGGATGCGTAGGAGCTCGACATCATGACATATGATGGAGGTCCTCTGCATCGCTGCTGTGAAGCGCAGTGTAATTCAGCAGGCTTCCTCTTTTACAGATGCTGCCACCGAAATGGCATCATCCTCAGAGCCATCCATAGCACCGAAGGACACCACACCAGATCAGCGGTCATGAAGCGCACTGGAAGGGGACCTGTCGCAGGGGGGTGACGAGCACGTGGACACTGAGCCGGCGCGATCTGCTTGGCTCGAAAGAGGCTGCAGAGGAAGAGCACATTAGGGCTAGTTGGGTGAGTTCATTGCATTGGATGATGGCCACATGGAGCCTGAGAGTCCGGAGGCTCATATCTCCACAGTGGGGGCAGTCCGACCCCCCAAGCGCCGCCTCTGCGTGGGCGCGACCTAGGCAGAAGACACACGACTCGTGGCCAACAGAAGGTTCGATTGGCTCTGCACAGGAGAGGCAATCGAGAGGTCATCGTTGTCCGAAGCTCACCAGAACACAGCAGGGGAAGAGAAGGCGTTGTACACTGCAGCGTGTAGATCACAATGAGTACTCTTTGATGATAGGCTTCTTGCTTCTTGTAGAAGGTTGGCTGAAGGAAAAGATTCTGAATGGATGACGTACAAGCGTTGCCTTATATAGAGAGGGGAGCCCCTCATATTTTGCATGCTTGAACACCATTGGCCAGTGTTACTGGCATGATTCAATAAGGCTTCAGTATATTTGAAGAAAGGGTTTTCCCCATAAGCATTACCAAATGCAATGTCGAAGTGAACGAATCGAAAGGGAACTAAGTTTTAAGTAGTAAAGAGGAAGGGATGATAACGCTCACTTGCGCTCCACACTGCCGTTTGAACAGAGGCGTTTATACAGTGATCTGTCAGACCACATCAAAGAACTTTAAAACGGCATTTATTGTTTGAATAAAAAATAAACATATTTTGAAAGATCAAAAGTAACAATATATAAAACTGGAAGTTTTCAGTGAGGTTCCACTCATGCAGTGGTTAAAACAATTCTGTATTTGTTCGGTACACATGTCTACCGAACCGAAAGGCCCTGTACTGAAAAATTTTGGTACAAATGTGTGTACCGTTAGACCCTGACAGCAACTCACACAAATTGTGTTCCACATAGGAGATTAAACATGCAATTGAGTTCAATAGTAGCATGATAAGCATTAAGTCCAAAGCATACTTAAGTTTTCACGACAACACAATAGCATATAGGCCTACAGTCTATTCCATTTGACAGCATGCGCACAGGCGGACAGCACATGTGCTCTAGAAAGCTAACCAACATCTGCTCTATTTCTCTCCAGAAGTTATGAGTCATGACCCATAAAAAAAAAATAAAAGAAATAGAATAAATAAATGTTCATTTACTCATTGAAACTAGTTATTACCGATAAAAATTTCAATATACTAGTTCAATTTAAATGTTGATTTACTCAAATAGTTTGTTGTTGTTTCATCACCTCCATTTTTTTAAACTGTGAAACATTGGGCCAGTGTTGTCATCTTTGTGGACATACTGATTAGAACAAAAAATTCAATGAGCATGTGCGATAAATTTCACGTTTAATTCAGTGTGTTACTTGCAGTTTCTTTGTAATCATTTGTGAAATTTGCTTTAGTACAAGTGAAGACTCTTTCAAAGTAAATCCATGATGCCTTAAAATGCTACTTCTTTAGGGAGTTCACTGGGTGCACATTTGCTCTAATGTTCTTTTAGGTAAAAGGATGAATGTAAACCATTTGTGAAAGCCTGTTTTGAACATTTAATAGGAAGGAAATGAAATTTTTAATTTTTTCTCAGCTTTATCAGTACTATAAGTAGTTGCATAACTTTTTCACTGATATAACTTAGCTTGTTCCCAAAAAATAGGCTCACCGTTCCGCACCATTTGAGCAAAATGGAGCAATTCAATTAAATCCAGAGAGACAACACTATATGAGATTAATGAGGGAAGTTGGACAATTAATGGCAATCTCGCCAGTAATCAGGGCCATTGTGAGAAACCACAGCCATCGTTTAACACCTGTCAAAACACATAAAGCCAAAGATTCATTTGCATCAAGGGCACAAATGAGGGATGAAACCGAACAAAAAAATAATTTCGCCTTTAACTGCCACTTATTATGACTTGGCTTACTTTTCAGTAAGTTTCTTCTGCTGCAGTGTTGAAACACTTTATACTTTTGATTTTTTTTTTTCTGCCAAGTTAATGAAACACGAGGAAATGAACATAACTATAACGCTTGAGCACTGCTGTTCTCTCCCATTAGTCTTCCAACAATAATTGCTCTACAGCTCATTACAAAGGCTGCAGTTGTTCCTATCATTTCTTAATTTTTATTACTCTCTGAATCATGCACACTGCATACACATTCTAACGGTCTAATAAATGCAATATTTTTTAATATATTTAAGACTATTAGAACTGCATATAAATATGTTTAGGACGGATTTAATTGCAGTTAATTGCTACTGGTTCTAAAGTGTGTGGATGAAATAATAAACAAAGGATAATTTATATGTTATAATTACATAGTCAATATTTTTTGGAATTTTTCTCCAAAAAGCCGACGGTTGCTTGCTAATTGCCTTGGTAACTCATTCTTTCTAAATAAAATATTGCTGAATCAATATCTGCCACATGCATACAGGTTAATTTTTTTTTTAAGGGTGACTAAGAAGAATGTCTTTGGTATTTAGCTTATCATGAACTCCACAAGTTTGTTAAAAAAAAAAAAAACTGGTGATATATGTTCCCCAGCATGATTTGAGAATGTTAGCATCTTGTGCTTCAATGGAAGTAAGACCATGCAACCTTTTGTACAAAGCAGTTAATACACTTGTGCACAAATATAGCCTATACACAAATGTATTTGATAGTGACCTAAAATTGTGCAGAAACATAAATAATGTGGATTCCAAATCCTAAAACTTTGTTTATTTTTTATGTAGCCTGTAAACAGGATTTTAATTCCAGCATTTTTAATGTCGTCTGTATAGTTTTGGATGTAGACTTTTGGACCCTACGGTTTATATAGTATATATCTAAATTAGTTTTGCTGATATGATTAAGCTGAAATTTGTACATTCTGACTTCAACAAACAGTTCCATGTGAAGTTCAAGCTGACTTTATCATTTCATGCACATCTGTAGGCTATCTATAGCTCGAGACAAAAACGTGAAATGTCTTACCTGCGCGGCCATAAATGACAGATCCATGATGATTTGTTTATCAGAACAATAACTAAAAAAGCTTCAGGAAGGTCAGGTAAACTAGCGTTCACCGGGGTAACCTATTTACATCCAAATGACATCGTTGAGTTCAGCTCCAGCCTCCAGATACATGAATCCTCAACATCTGATGTGCGTCTGCGATCATTTCAGAGACGGATCAACAGCGAGACGAGGATGAGACAGACCAGAGGAGAGGAAACAAGAGGAGAGAGAGAGAGAGAGAGAGGGAGGGAGGGAGCGAGTGAGTGCTTGTCTTATTCATATTCAATTATTTTTGTGACGTCTCGAAACGATTAGACAAGCTTTTGTAGATGCGCCACATTTATGAGCTCGAAATATTTAGTAAAAATTGCTCTTTTAAAGTCAGCTATGTCTGATTTATCGACACCAAAAATATGACAATGTTTATTTCTACAGCCATAAATAGTAGCCAAAAAAAACCAAAACAAAAAAACATGTGTATGATAATTAGATTTTATTTATGGATTTGCTGGAGATTTATAAATTCAAAATCAACGTAGACGTTGTTTTTTTTTAGCATATCACTGAAACACAATAGCCTATCTAACATTAAGTAGCTAAACAAAACAGTTAACATATTAATATGATCATAATTTGAGATAAAGGAAAACACTTGGAGAAGGTTAAACGTATAAGTCTTGCTGTCCATGATGGAGTGCTCAGGAACGAGACTTGAATAATATGAAGCCAAATGCAGTAAAAACCTTTTATAATTAATAAGGGAGTCAGAATGTGACAAATATTTAATGATTACGGATCCATTATGTTATGAACAATAGGCTGCCATGAAATAACATGTTAAAACCTGCAAAAGGTTTGCAAATAATCAGCAAGGGGTGAGATAGTGCTGCTGTTATGAATTATTAATCTGCATCAAGTTTGGGGGGAAATTGTCCTGGAAAAAAGTTGCTCCTCCATTAGATTTAAGGTTCAAAGAAGCTGACGTTAAAATCAAGTTCACAGTTCTAGTGATAATTTATGGAGATGATCTGTTGCTATTAATGACAACTGATGTTGGCACCTTCTAACTACTGCAGAACATGGAGTTATGACACACACACACACACACACTTGAGATCATCTGCCACCATGCTCAGTTTCTGCTTCTCTTGGACCTTCACTGATAGCAAATAAAGGCAATATGGATTCAAGCTAAGAATATACCTATATGTTTTAAATGAATCCTTTCTCAACCATAATCTTAATCTAACCTATGTTATGAAGTTGAGATGTCACATAAATAAACGGCTCCTGATTCAAGATTCAAGTCACAAATACTTTTGAGGAGCTGATGGTGTCAAATACTTGATACACGTATCCACAATCTGTTAATAGAGGATTATTTTTGAACTGCCACACTCTCTCTTTTGTGCATGACAGTAATCTGAATTGCAAATGCAAGAGGTAATCGTCATTCTAGTCTGTAAGCACACAATTGCCTCCCTCCTGGCAGGTTAATGAGGTTTAGAGGACAGAATCACTGTACTCTTGATGAACCTTCACACATTTGACCACATAGTTGTGGTTAGCATTACCATTCAACAATGCATTGATGTGTGATGAACAAACACACATTACTGTAGATGTGCTCACTTGTGAAAAAGAAGTGTGCTTATTGAATAGTGTACTTCAAATCTTAAAAAAAGTCTTAAAAACTGTACTTGCATATAATGAAAATGTCAATGGCTACTGCAAACTGTTTGGTTGCCTCCATTATAAACATTTATTATGTTAAAGTACATCATTTCCATAGTAAGTACTTTCTTTTAAAGTATGCTAAAGTTTACTTTGTTTTTCAAGGGCTGTCCTCCCATTAAATGCATAATTTAACTTAATAGGTCCACATTTGTTATCAGAATGGTATTTATACTCAGATGTCTGAAATATGGCTGAAAGTGTTTTGAGAAATTAATTTCACCATTCATCTTTATTTATTACAAAAACACCATTAGATGCCAAAGTAATTTTCTGTATTATGACAATGAATATTGATGGATGTTAGATCCTCGAGAGGAATTTTTGTTTAGCACTACAGTACAATATACACAAACAAACAATCACACTGAGATGGAGAATGTTTATCAAATCAGACAGTTGTTGAACTCCCAGACAAACTCTGTCAGAACAACATGCTAGAAAAAAAAAAGAGAATGATGAATCCACTTGCAAAACAGTTACATAATGCGCCCTGAAATGCAACTGCGGAAAAGAAGAGGTAGACGTATCTTTTCAGAGGAATAAATTCTTTAGCTGAAACATCTGAGCTGAGAGTCGGAGGCGCTGTGACTCCCACAGCAACTGTCCTCAGAATAACAGGTCACAGCGCATCAATTATTAATGTATAAACCGGAAATCCCTTAAGCCATCGATAAAGGTTAGGCCACATTTTCTGGTTAAATGTTTGTCTCATAGCAACAGACCTCCAAGAAAGAAGTCTATAGAGACCGTTCTGCTCATTAGTGCTATCTGAGTGGGTGGGTAGATCTAATGCCATTGCAGGCCTGGAAAGTGAACACATTTATATTATATATTTAAAATACAAACTAGCTAATTAGAAACCATTAAGAATGGAAGCAAATTACATTGACTGCATCCTTGTTTCTTGGTAATGCTATCCAGTGTTTTTAATATCTATACTATTCACTCTCCAGTCATTTGTTGGTGTGTTGTGGTATAGGTCATATAGTTCTTGATATGTATGATGACTATTAAGTGTGGAAACAAAGCACAATGACACGAGTGCTTAGACAAATACAAAAACATGCTAAACAGAAGCCTGATGCCAGGTTCAGACTACACAATATTTTTATCGGTCACGATAGTCACTGTGTCAGATTACACGATTTTGTGCTGAAGCGCTTCTGCTATAGTTTGCCAGCATTTTTTTTTCTTTGTTCTGTTGTGGTAGTCCCTCGATGACACAAACTAGCGATTGACTTCCGAAAACGAGTGTAAACTGCTGAAGAGCTTCTGCTATAGTTCGCCAGCATTTTTTTTTCTTTGTTCTGTCGTGGTAGTCCCTCGATGACACATCATACAGGCAGGAGTACTGTTGCCACAGCTCCACGAACCTTTCCTCCATCTCATAATTCCACCTAGCAGCACCATCATCTCTCTTTCGTTTTGCCATGTTTGAAACCGGTATATGAAAGAGCTTCTGTGCTGCTATTGGTCAACGTGACCAATGTGACAGAACTCGTCTTGGACGACAGAAAAAAAAATTAAACATGCTAGTCTTTCTGTCGTGAAGCATCGCAGATGCGGAATCGGTTGTCTTCCATTATGACACACTACACGTGCTGAAACGATGGAATCTTGCGTCCCGATGCCCATTGTCATTTACGAATCCCCACGACACCCTACGTCAAGCAAATCGTGACAAAATCGGGCTAAAATCGTGTAGTCTGAACTGGGCATGAGGCTATAGGAATAGCTGCTACCTTTTTTGCACCCATTTTCTAATACACTTTATACACAGATTAATATAAATGTGATAGTTCTGTGTGCACAGACTGACTGCTTGATTCATTCAGATTTATTTCTCATTTTATACAATTCCAAATTTACTTTTATATTACCCACAGCCCTATTTTGTAAAGTGTAATCCCTTCCTCAGACAGTTGGTAAAACCTCTTCACAGCCCATATAACAAAAGAAAATGATGCTGAGCAGATGATGCATAGTTAGGATGGTGGTGATGAGTTCTTGATCCCTCTGAACTCCTGAATATATACACATCATCCCTCTGGTGTTTGTAAATGCTGCGTCTCCATGACCCAATTTGAGACTGTCTGCACCTTGTTTATCAGTTATTTATTAATGGAAAAGTGATGCAATGTGACTTTATTTCTCCCAGTTGTGACTTTACTTCTCATAATCGCAACACTTTTATCCAAAGCAATTTAAGGCTGATTAACACTGCAGAGACAGATGGCAGTCACCAGATTACAGTTGTTCACTTCTACTCCATGACCTGACAAATGGTAAATGAACATATTCATTCGGTGAAATCAAGCACCAACCAGTGCCAACAGCTGACACTCTGATCTGACAAAACCGATGAACTTACTGATGCTGTAAAAAATGGCAACCTGTAATTGTTATGTTAAAGAGCTATTTCTACCTGATCTAACCCTTAAACTTAGTTTTGTTGGTTTAACTTTAGGTTGATTCAGTGGTTAAATTTCATTTTTATTTGAATAAAATCAATTAATTTAGATGTTACCACGTGAAGCACATTTGATCTCACAAATGTTTCTTTGTTGTTCTCATATTGTGACTTTGTATGTCACAAATGTGACTATTTCTTGCAATGTGTCTTTAAATCTCGCAAATGCAACTTTGTTTCTGGAATGTGACATTAAATCTTGCAAATGCATCTTTGTTTCTTGTAATACGATTTTAAATCTCGCAAATGCAACTTTGTTTCTCATAATGTGACACTAAGGCCTGGTTTCACAGACAGGGCTTAGAATAAACCAGGATTAGGCCATAGTTCAAGTGGGACATTTAAGTAATTTTTCATAAACGTGCCTTAGAAAAAACATTACTGGTGTGCATCTTGAGTCAAAACAAACGCACTGATATATTTTAAGATCAGTCAGTGCAAGTTTCAGTTGACACAGCTCAGACTTACATTTTAGTCTGGGACTAGGCTTGAGCCTTGTCTGTGAAACCGGGGGTAAGTCTTACAAATGCGATTTTGTTTCTTGTAATGTGACTTTAAATTTCATTACTGCAACTTTACATTTCAAAATGAGACTTTATATTGCACAATGTGACAATGTGACATTGAATCTAGCAGTTCCGACTTTTATCTTGTAATTTTCTAGACTTGATATCTCCTAAGTGCAGCTTAATATCTCAATATGACTTTAGGCCTCATTTTTAACTACATCACAGTTACCTAAAAAACTCAAATAAAAAAAATAATAACGTGGTATGGGCTGTAATAGTAATTTCTTCAGAGTGCTATATGAGCTAAAATAAAACAATGGAACTAAGAAATAAACCTGACACA